TGTACAAATATTATATATATATATATATATATAAATAAAAGGTTAGGTCCAAGGATAAGGACCAACGTTTTCTATGCTAGTATACAAAAAAAAAAACAAGTAAAAACAAGCTGACAACCTGTAAAAAAAATATCCAAAGAAATAGGAATCAAAGTAAAGATAACAAGCACCTGCATGATAGCTAGCCTAATAAAAGAACATTTCATAATTGAGAATAAAAGAAATAAAATGAAATACACTTAAGATCTCTCCTTGAATTTGATAGCTTTAGTAAAGATGTTTGTTAACTTCCTATTATAAGGAGTTGACAATAAACGCATCATTCTAGATTCTAATCTTTCCTACACTACATAACAATTAATGTCGATATATTTAATTCTTTCATGAAAAGTAGCATTATAAGCTATATGAATCACAAATCTATTGTCATAATATATTAGCGTAGGTACTATAACAAATTCTTGAAGGTCCTAAAAAAAAAGAAAAAAAACCATTGTATTTCACAAGTAAGAACAATTAATGTTTTATACTCTACCTCTAAAGAAAAATAGGAAATATTGGATTGCTTCTTTTGATTTCCAAAAAATTAGAGGTGATTAAATAGGAACACAATACTTAGTTACTAATCACCTAATATCAAGGAAGGAGGAATAATTAGAGTGTGCAAAGGTTTATATCTTAAGAGTAGAAGTAATTGAAAAGAGCAATCATTTGGCGGGTTCAAACTATAAATATCTTAAATATTGAGTTGCGCTCGTGATAATCCATTAGTTTTGGCATAATTTGAGAAAGTTGTTGCATAGCAAATGTTATGTTAGGTCTTATGGTGGTTAAATAAAGCAATTTTCCAATTAGATGCCAATAATAAATAACATTATGATATGACTTTTCATCATTTGTTGAGAGCTTGATTGAAGGGTCCATGGGGATGGAAATACCCTTTGTTGTAAGAAGACCATAATCTATTAATAGCTCTAGAGTATATTTCCTTGGTTTACAAGGATGCCTTTCTTACTTCTAGCAATTTCAAGGCCTAAAAAATATTTCAAGTGCCTTCGGTCGTTAATTTTAAACTATGAAATCAGAAAACCTTCACCAATTAACTTGATTACACTTCAATCATTTCTAGCTTACACAACATCATCAAGATATATCAAAATTGCAATAAAAGAATTGCCAACTTTCTTGACAAATAACAAATAATATGTTGTAGACTAAGAGAAACCAAGAGAAAAAATGAGCTTGGGATATTTTGAAGTACCATTAGCGATTAACTTGCTTTAAACCGTAAAATGACTTGTTGAGTTTGCAAACCTTATTAAGGCAAGATGTTGGAATACCTAGAGGGAAAGACATGTATACTTCTTCATTCAAGTCTCCATAGAGAAAACATTGATAATGTCCAATTGCTCTTAGTGCTAATTAATAGAGGAAGCATGTGATGATTCCAGTCAAAACAATACATAGAGCACATCAACATATAATCCTCACATCAACATATAATCCTCACATCAACATATTATCTTTTCTTCTTTTTTTTGCTTTAAATAGACAATGTGAGTTTTACATAGTACAAGAATATGCCTTTATTCCTTCTTATTCACCTAGGTCTTTTTTAGGTCATTCTTTGTATATATATATACATTGCAATCATTGTCACAGAAATATATGAGAAAGTTCTCAATTTTATTTCTTCCTTGCATACCTTTTATGGTATCACAATAGGCTAAATTTCATGGCTTCCTCTGACCCTAAGTTTACAAACCCCAGCCAAAATCCATCTAGCCCTTTCTATATTCACCCTAGTGAAAGCCCTTCATCTATGATAGTTACTCCTACTCTTTATATACACAACTATCAATCAAGGTCTAGGTAAATCTGAATGGCCCTTGATGATGATTTTCGCAATCTCTCCACTTGGCAAGCGGACCAAGTTTCGATGTAGTATTTAAGTATCGTCCTCAGGGATTTGAGAATTTAGTAATTCTTACTCTAATGATTAATATAGAGATGTTGATATGATTGGAAGTGAGCTAATGTGAGGCAAAATTAAAACGGTAATGTAAAAGTTATAAGAACAATTATATGAAACAAGGATTGGACCCTAGAGCACTTGCTAACTCCTAAATTTCCTTAAAATAAATATGATTTCATCTTCATGACTTCCACGTTCATTTAGTAATTCAACAAGATCCCTCAAAATTGAATCCTAAAGTAATTAATCTAAAACATGATTCCTCTATGTTTTATGATTAACACTTTGCATTAAGAGCAATGACTTGAACAAGGTGACTAAACAAATCAAGTCTATTCCTAGAGCAAGAGATGTTTAGGTGCAAGATTCAGTTCGGGTTTTCAAAAACGTTTTCCAACCGGATTCAAAAACCAAAAATCATACAACGGGTGATCAAGCCGATATAAGCATTAAGAGAAGAATCAAACACAAGTAATGAAAATGAAATGCATATATATATTTAAGAAGAAGAAGAGTTAGTAGTTACATCTAGACCAATCCTCAAAGATTTAGCCCCTCATGGCCATTTACAAGATCAAAGGAGTGGAAGAAGAAATTACAAAGGAAGAGATGAAGAAAAAGGAGTTGATCCTCGTTCCCAAGTGATCCAGCCTCCAAATCTTCGTTCCCACTCTGTTCTTTCTTCCTCCTGTGCTCCCCGCTCTTGTTTTTCTCTTTGTTTTCGTCTCTGTTCCCCCTTTTCTCTCTCCCCTGCCCTTTTATAATTGCTAGAATTAAAACAGAGTAGGCAGGAAAGAGAAGAATCCGCTCAGCGCCTTGAAACGGCTGAGCGGTTTGAAGAATTCTTCACCATGAAGTAATCTGAATGGCTGAGCCATTCAAATCCGCTGAGCGCCTGAGAGATTCTTCATTGTTAAGCAAGCACAAGGGGCTGGGCGCTTCATATCCGCTCAGCGCCTAGGAGGCAGAGAGCACTCCTTCTTCCAGGGCCAAATCCGCTCAGCGCCTTATAGTGGCTGAGCGCCTCTCTTTTGCTGCATTTGTTGAGCTCTCTGGCTTGAAGGCGCTCAGCCGTTTCAAGGCGCTCAGCCGTTTGCCTCCAGATTTCAAAACCTACAAAATAACACCAAATTGGATCAAAGGCTTCCTATTCCCTGTACTAACATTAATCAAAAGCACCTCTTTGATTCTAAGTATATATAGATCAAAATAATATCAATATGTACACAAAATGTGCTAGATAAGTGTCTCAAGTGAGTATTAAATCAAACTAATTAGACACTTATCAGCCCTTGTATCAAAAACTAAAATGAGCTTTCTCATAAGATCCATCACCAAACCATTGCCCTTTGATCCTTTGTATCCTATCTAGGAGAGGTGAAACACACTCCTCATGTCTTTGGCTTCTTAACACCATTTCACCCTCTATTGCTCATAACGTGATTTTCTTTGAAGATGCCACGAATATATGGGCTGATCTCCGTGAACGATTTTCTCAAGGAGACTTGTTTCATGTCACTAAACTCCAAGGGGGAATTTACTCCCTGAAGCAAGGCTCAAACAGTGTCATTGACTATTACAATAATTTGAAGACTATATGAGAAGAATTGGACGATTTTCATTTTATACTCTATGCTCATGCTTAGCAAAGACCTTTCATCAACAAGACTTCATCATTCGATTTCTCAAGGACCTCGACAAACACTTCTCTATGGTAAGGTCACAGATCCTTTTTCTCGACCCTCTACCCTCTGCCAACCATGTCTTCCCCATGATTATCCAACATGAGAGACAACACACAACGTCTACTTCCATCGACTCAAATCCATTCATCAACGCGACTGCCGCTAAAGCCCATGGTTTTCTGCAGTCGAGAGGACCTAAAAACATTGCATCTGATAAGAAATGTGAGCATTGCAGACGCCTTGGACACACCATTGATGCTTACTATCAAAAGAATGGCATCTTCGCCCCTAAATGGGACTATTGCAGAAGCTTCAAACACACTATGGATGTTTGTTATGCGAAATATGGATATCCTCCCAGTCACCCCAAGTACCCAGGTTGAGCTCGTATCAACAACAAGAACCAACACTCTAGTCCTGGAGACATTGTGAACAGTGTCGCCACTGAGGGAAGCAGAAGCCTAGGGCACGAAGAAGAAACCCACAAGGAAGCTCCTATACATCAATCCGGCCCAATCATCACTCAAGCCCAATTTCAGCAATTGATGGCCCTCCTTCAGCAACCTCCTAGTTCTGTAGGTGGTGTGACTTCAGATGACAGGCCTATTAGGGCTAACCTTTCCTTATCTAGCCCAAATTTCTTTTCTGACTCAATGTTTAGTACTTCTTTCATTTTTTCTACTTGCACCACACACTCTCTTAACTTAATAAAATCTCTTAATGCACCTTATATAGTTGATTCTGGAGCCACTAACCATATTGTTTGTTCTTTGCAATATTTTCACACATGTTCCAACATTAAACCTATGACCATTAATTTGCCAAATGGTTCCTTTGTTAAAGCCCATATTGCTGGAAGTATTCATTTTCCCTTAATTTCATATTGCACAATGTTTTGTATGTGCCTGATTTTACTTTCAACTTTTATCCATTTCAAAATTAATTTCCACCTCTCAATATATCATAACTTTTTCTGAAAATTCTTGTAATATCCAGGAAGCCAGCACGTTGAAGATGATTGGTTCATCTAGACTAATGGAGGGATTAAGTCACTTGGTAATTAACAAGGAAAGACAACCAACA